TGCAAACATCGTGGACAAATGAGCTTGGCCGGTCAGATATGTCAGAGCTGGAGAAAGAAGCGAACCTGCAAATTCATCAGAGAAAATCATGGAAAAAATGATTGAGGGATCATTGCTTCTAAGATCTATTTGTTAGTGTAGGCATGTTATAATTAATTACGTCCAAGAATACCTAAAAGTGAATTAGCATATTTGGTTTTGCCGTTCTATTTGCATGCATGCAAGTCACTTGGTCACCCTCTATAAATGTGAAAAGTATGTCCTAGCGACTCACTAAAATGAGTGGAGAAAAAAAACGCCAATTAAAAACGAAAATGATAGAAGAATATACATAAACTGAAAATCGAATTATGTGGTATAAAATTGTGTGTTGTGGCCTTCGTGATGTCCATATGAAATGAAAGTACATCTGGTATAGCTCACACATTCTTATCTGTCAAGTCAAGCTGTTACTAATTAACACACATGTACACATATATACCTATGAAACTAAAGTCTTATTTATTGCGACATATGAACGTTATACATAATATAGGAAACATCTTTATCAAAAATACACATCAAAGAAAATTCCTATGGATTCTTATATATAAGCTAAGTTCGATGAAATTTACATTTGTTGATTTCAAAACTCAAGAGGGCTAAAACATCACAAAGAAAACCCAAAGAGGGATTGCGAATAGACAGGGCAAAGGGAGCAAAAGTAGGGCTTAAGATGTTCCCTTTCCAAAACAAGAAATATATAATGTGACTTGTCCATTGTTCATCACCAAATTCTTTATCATCGGACAAAATGTAGCTTTGGAAATTTAAAACCGATGCTAATTGATCACTCCCCTTTTGGAATTCGATGCATTGGCCCAATCCATGTTCCCCACATGCTTATTTGGGATACGTCATTCGTGTTTTTAATAGTACAAATTCAAAATAAGAACGTAGAAATTTTTTAAGATCTATGTTTGATTATCTATATCCATAAATATGTGAAAAATTGCGTAGGGTGTAACTAAGTAATGTAATTTTATCAAAATATGTGACTTGTGTCCGTAACATGTTATTTGTTATATGGACCTCTAATTTATGAAATAGATGTTTGGATTTGGCGCTATGTGATAATTTAGAAATCTATGTGATACATTTTATATTCCTATGATAAATTAAACGTATACATAACAAAATACCATGTTATGTATTGATTGAATAACATTGTAATAAGTTGTATAACGATGTCCAGTCTTTTGTACTAATGGACGGTGGAAAGCGTTGAACACTACACATCAACTAATTCTAATTTAGTGATATACTGACATTCGTTGTATTAAGGCAATGATAAAAAAAAAGAGTTTGTATCCGCTTATC